CGTAACTAGTTATATCGACACATTAATTATTATTGTCTTAATTAAAACAAATTCGTTAAAAATTCAATAAATGAATCAATGTATATATATAATAAAACAATATATAAAACAATGTTTAACAATTACCTTTAGAAGATCTATATATTCATTATCACTAGTTCTATATATATTTATACCACAAATCATGATGGCAGTTAATACAAGTTTACCACCTGAATTTATATAAACAGGAAATATTATAGCATATGAACTATTTTTTAATTTTAGTATGACTTTAGTACTAGATTTTAGGACTTTTTTTTTTGGTATAGTTAAATCTGATGATGAGGCTGAAAAGGTGGAAGAGGAATCAGTAATGTTATCGTCATCATCCATCGTCAAATCTACAAAGTCGTAAGTTCTTGGGAAATAATCTGGTAACGAACGTCTTGATTTTCCTTTTACAAAAGAGCATTTTTTAACACCGTTTTCATCTGATTCAATTTCAAGATCTTCGTCAAATGTAGTTGCGATCAAATCAGCAGATTTGGCTGAATTATTCTTATTTTCAATCAAGTAAACTAATGAATATGGTATATCTGCATTGTGTTCTCTTAAAGTAGAAGTCAACAGATGACAAGCGTTTTCTACTGATCTTGTACCTATATATCAATTAATTAATGTCATAAATGCACGTACATATATAGATAGATTTACATAAATATACTTGTGGTATCTACCTGGCGTGTTGTTACCCAATTCACTTAGAACCTTTAATCTTCTTGCACCTAAAACTTTTTCAGTTGTCTCTTGAACAACAGCAAGTATACCAGTCACGGTATCTCCATTAAATATTGGATTTAAAGCAAATGAGAAATAGGTCTCTTCATTATAACCATCTCGTTGAAGAAATAATTTTGTATCATCTTCTGATGTTCCTTTGCCTGATGCTTTGACCCTAGTAATAATTTTTTATTTTATCATTATCATTATCATTATTGTTATTATTATTATTATAATAGATATTGTAAAAAAAAGATATTTTTTAAAAATAATAGATATATATATACTCTTGAAATAATT